CTGTCTTGATGACTGTGGCTTTGTAGTATAGTCTGAAGTCAGGCAGGTTGATTCCTCCAGTTCCATTCTTCTTTCTCAAGGTTACTTTGGCTATTCGAGGTTTTTTGTATTTCCATACAAATTGTGAAATTATTTGTTCTAGTTCTGTGAAAAATACCATTGGTAGTTTGATAGGGATTTATGCACATGCTTTTAAAAGTATGTATTGACCACTTATGATGTGCCAAGCTCTGTGCCTGGCTCTAGGATACAGTGGCAAAGAGGCCACCATCCCTGACCTCAAAGAGCTTATGAAAGGTAAAGCAATGAGCTTCAGCCCCCGGTCCTATCACAGAACAAAAAAAGCCTATGGTCAGATCAGCCAGTGCCCCTCCAATCTCTGGATCCTATCCCCCGGGAGGGGACAGAGAACAAGCTGGTTATACTGAGTAAAAAAAAGCACCTGCAGAAAGACTTTTAGCCCAAGAGCCCCAAATCCCTGAAACTGCATATTTTCAGCAGAAGCTGCACATGCAGAGGTCCCTCCAGCCTGGCCCTGCTCTTCCTTTTCCAAGGAGCCAAAGGGCAGGTAGACATCAGCCAGAGACCTGCGCCAGCCTCCTTCCCCACCGGGGGTCTGGGCAAATAAACAGCGAGCATTTGGGTGAAAGAATGGAGTTGGCTGTGTGGGGTGTCCCCACAGTGCCCATTTTGCAACGTCCTGTGGAGGGGTTAGAAAAATACAGACAGATGGCAACTCTACCTCCCATCTGCCAGAACATCAAGGTGGAGGAGATTACCCCAAACGAGCAAAGTGATTTCATAAAAAGCTCAAGCCAGCAACAAATTGCATAATAAGTCCGTCCTGAAAAAACTTTTAGGATATTTGCTTGATTTTTTTCTTTTCTTTTTTTTTTTAAAAAACAATGATGCTAGTTCTCTGCTTCTTTCTCTATTCTTTAAACTCATGTAAGTAATAAGTACTTGTTAAATGAATGAAGGTCAGGATTGGAAAATAGCTTTTAGCATCAGAAATTCGAGAAGAAAGGTAAAATAGACAAACTTAGCTTTGTCATTGTAACTCTACCTAATTTGACTTAAACTAACCCAGCTTTCTTGGGCTTTTGCTATCATTGCCTTCAAAAACTGCAGAATGTGAGTGATAAAGAAAAAATTCCTGGCAATAGGGCAAGTATGAGTGAACTACAGCAGCAGAGGCTTGGGTAGCAATAGGAATCCTTAGAAATGAAAGTGGCCTCAAGAGCCTCAGTTCATAAAGGGTGATTACAAACCTTCCCCAATATCCCAACACGACATCCCTGAAAATAATATAATTACTGGAAATGTGATAAATGTATATAGAGATAGATATCTATATTCATATATATATATATATGTATGTATACATATACATATAAGCACATAACACTAGCCACAGAAATGGATCTAGTTCCATTTTTTACAGTGGACCTAGAAATTATAAACTGAATATCTTTTACCTAATGGAGAGAGCCAAGGCCACCCTATAGAGGTCGTCTGTGTCGCCAGCTCCCAAGCATTTTTCTGCAGTGCCGTTGTTTCAGATGTCATCCAGGACAGCTGGTCAGCACTGCATTAAGAGGAAGCAGCCAAGGTGCTGATAGATAACAGACTCCAAGGAGTCCAGCTGCCAGAAAACAATCCATTCCATCCAATCAAGGGTAGAAAACCAATAGATAAGGGAAGGGACAGAACTTCTGCTCAGAGGAATTTTCTCTCCCAGCATCCTCAGTGGAAGTGTGGGTGGCCAAGAGAATAATAAGGAGTTTCTCAACCAGCCAGGATGTTCCAGGCCACATCCTCTTTTAAGGGCCCCAGGACCTCTATGCATCAGGTAATGTGGACCCAGTGAGTCTTCACCCCATTCCTGGTCTATGTCAAGAGGCCTCTTCAAAGAGTTTGGGTGGGAAGTCAATAATGTGTTTACAACCGGCGGGCCTGGAGAAAAGGGCTGCCTCAATTTTCCAGGCAAGGATACTGGAGCAGGTTGCCATTCCCTACTCCAGGACATCTTCCCGACCCAGGGACTGAAGCTGTGTCTCTGGTATCCCCTGCATTGGCAGGTAGATTCTTTTCCACTAGCACCACCTGGGAAGTCCTCTCTTACCTGGATGTTCAAAAACACAAAAGCTAGCTGTGGGTGAAATCTGAACACTCAACCACAACAAGTCTCTGGGCTCTTGCTCTGATTCTGGGCAATGTTTTCTGCAGAGTCTGTTTGCCTTCTTCCTCGAGAAGGGGCACACCTGCCACCAACCAGGTGCAATCTGGCTGAAACACCTGCCAGGCTAATGAAATGATGGTGGCTGGCCCCGCACCCAAGTCATGAGGCTTATTTTGCATGATCGGGCACAATTCATTAGGATGAGGAGAGAGCCTGAGCCACCCCAAAAGCAAGGCTCGTCGTCTGTTCCAAGCCCACCCCTGTGGTCCTGACGTGTGAGAGCATGTGCAGGGCACCATTTTCTCTTTCATTATTTTCTTGGCATGAGCGTCTTGTCTCTCAATCTGGTTTTCACATTTCTCCCCTAAGCTCTGTCCCCACAACCCCTCACCTCTCCACGAGTGACTGGTGGGAGTTCACCAGTGGGTGAGGAAGGAGGCAGGCACCGCGGTAGCAGGCAAACCCAGGATGGCAAAGTGGATCCGACACGGGCTCCAGAGCATCCTGGGGAAGAGGTTTCAAGTTTCAGCTTAGCCCAGACAGTCAGCCTTTGACAACAGGTGGCGCTAGTGGTAAAGAATCCACCTGCCAATGTAGGAGATCTGAGATGCAGTTTGATTCCTGGGTTGGGAAGATCCCCTGGAGGAGAGCATGGCAACCCACCCCAGTATTCTTGCCTGGAGAATCCCATGGACAGAGGAGTCTGGTGGGCTACAGACCATAGGGTCACAAAGAGTAGGACACGGCTAAAGTGACTTAGCATGCCCACAAGGCCTGGGAGGTGTTTCCTAAACCACTGGAACTCTTTGATCACTAAAATGATAGTACTAAGTCCCCTCAAAAATCACCAGGGGAGAAAGAGTACACAGATAAAAATGGCATTGAGAATTTTTCATATACAGAGTCACAGGGACCTTGGATGGCATCCAGAAGAGGTGACCAACCATCTGCCTCTCAGACCCTTCTGAACTTGCCTGAGCTTGCAATGTGCACGACAGGATATACCTGGCAATGCACACGTGTAAATTATCTAGGTGTACGTGATGTAGCAAAGATGACTGGAGACTGTTCCAGCAGAAACATCACGGCTTCTATTCTGACTTCAAGCCATTTTGGTTAAGCTTGCTTATTTTGTGAGGTGCCCTTTCATAAATGCAAATTAGCTGAGATTCTTTATCATCAGGGTTGTGTCTCTGACCAAAAAAGAATCATTAAAGAGGGAGTTTGGGACACTTTCCTCCCTCTTAACTCATCTCGCTTTTAGGTGGTTGGCGAGGCTTAGCTCAGCATAACTGCTCTGTGCCAGAGTGCTGTTGTATCAGCAGAAAAAAACAAAACCTGAGATGCCAAGGCAAAAGTTAATAGGCATGCATGCTAGCTTTACCACTGACAGAAGACAGGACACAGACTCCCATCTTGCTTTGTTTCACCCCTGCTGTTGCACTGCAAACACACAGTGAAGGTAAAACCTGGTTACTCTGGGTGGATTCTCCTGGTCCGAACAAGCCCACAGGACAGCCCGAATCCCCTCCACACACTGGGGTCCCTCTAGTGCTGTTGTAGCTCTGCAAACCAAGCCTTACCCGTCTTTTACCCCTAGTAGGTAGGCAATCTATTCTCAAATCCTTCTGAGTACTTTTTTTTTCTAGGTTACAGAGCCTTTTTGTTCATAAAACCATATAGTTTTCCCCAAAGTAATAAAAACCATAAATATAGAATTTTATTCTACATGCTGGGGTTTTGTAAAATGGGCACCTTTTTCCCTTTCCGCCTATCTCTTTATCACAAAGTCCAAGGAACTCACTACCTAGTGTAGAAGCATATACACCGACCGCAACAAACGCCCCAAACCTCAGACTTGCTCCACCTTTTCCCCAGGATGGGGACATGATGCTCACCACGGACTGGCCCATGTGACACTCACACGCATGGTCAGCCTGTCACCCTTGGGATAGCAACAATGTGAAAGTTTTATTTGGCTAAGTGAAATAGGTAGAGCGGAGATGACATAAGATGACAACGTTTTCTGCCCCTCGCATTAAAACTTAGTTTTCTTTCTTATTTTAGAAAGAATAAAAATAATATGAGGACCCCTTTCATTTGGATTGTTTCTCTGATCACAAAATAACATCTGTTGTAAGAAGTTCAAATAACACAGGGCTTAGGAAGGGAGAGTTATGCCAGAGTCATTCCCTACCTGCCCCCACAAGCCTGCTCTGAGCTAACCAATAGAGACAGCTTCCTGTATTTGCATCCAGATTTTTTTTCTATTCAAATTCTAACTTACAGGCTGATTAATATTCATTTAAATGAAATATTATTATGCCTAGTGCTCTGCAATTTGTTCTTTATGATCAACAATATTTTTCAGCAGTCTTTCCCATGTTAATACATGTAGATTATTTTCTTTAAAAATTTGTTTTATTGAGATGAAATTCACATATTGTAAAATTAACCATTTTAAAGTGAATGATTCAGTAGCATTGAGTGCATTCATAATGTTGTACACCCATCACCTTTATCTATCTACTTCATTCCTTTGAATGGCTGCATGGATGTACTATAATTTAGGTAGCCAGGCTTTTTAGTTTATTCCAATTTTATTCTATTCCAAGAAATGCTGCAATATTTGTATGTATATTTTTGCACATTTGTGCAAATATTATTAAAGGACAACTTCCCAAAAGAGAAATGTCAATCAAGGTTAATAGTTAAGCCAACTTCAAATTTTGATACATTTTGAAAAATTCCTTCCAAAATGACAACATGGATATCCATTTAGGAGCAGGTCCCTTAAAAGTGACAATAGTGAATACCCCTAGGGACATCTTTCTATTCCCTCTTCCCATGTCTCTTATGTCTGGTCCAACTTATGAGTCATGAACTTACTTTTTCTGGCTTAGAATCTGCATTTAATGCCCTAGGGTGGCAGTGACAAAATACTTCAACCTGGGTAACTTCAAACAAAGGAAACATTCTCCCACAGTGCTGGAGGCTAAAAGTCCAAAATCAAGGTGTGGAAAGGGCCAGGTTCCTTTTGAAATGTCTATGGAAAATCCTTCTTTGTCTTCTCATCCTTCTGGTGGCTCCCTGCAATCCTCAACATTCCTTGGCTTGTGGCAGCATCACTCCAATCTCCACTTCCAGCATCCCATGGCCTTCTTCCCCATGTGTGTGTCTCTCCTCTTCTTAAAAAGACCCTAGTGATTGTATTTGAGGCTCATCCTAATCCAGTATGATCTCATCTCAACTGACTATATCTGCAGAGACCCTGTTTTCAAATAAGGTCACAGTCTGAGGGATGCTATTCAATCCATAGACAGGATCATTAAGTAAATCTGAAGTTTTAAGAACTTAGAGAACATGATTCCATTTAGATTAACAACAGGCAGTTTAAAGCCTACAGAGTAGATGAAAATCATAGAAAATTCTATATTCTCTCGCAGGTTAATGCAGGTTAGTATCTTAAGTCAAATTTGATGTGTACTTAGGGCTTGTACAAAAATCAGTTGTGCAAAAAATGAACAATAGTAGGCTAATATATTAAATCCAAAAAATGTTCCAGAATCCCTATTTGTACCTTGCCTTTTAAACATAACAAGAAAAAAAAGAGAGAAACAAAAGAAGGGAGATTTAAATGAAATTTTCAATGATTTATTTCTAGTATTTTGTACATTTCTTATCTTTGCTCTTTGCTCTTTTCCAAGACAAATGAAATAAATCAACCAGCTTAAATTCAATAAATGTCTCATTGAAGCTAAAGATTTGCTACTTTTCATTCACTTATGATTTACATCTTTGTCTTAAATTCTTTAATTTTAGGACCATGCTCTTATAACTACTTTCATTTTCTGTTTTCACTAACTTTTATGGAACAAAGAGTTACAAATTTTAAATTTAAAACATCCTCTATAATGCACAAGCACTACCACATAGAGAAAGGCAGTGATAAAAATTTGAACTGTCTGCTGACAGATAATGTTGCAGAGGTATACCCTAGAATAGCGGTCTATCAGGAAATTGATGAAAGTTCACATTTAGTGCAGAGAGGAAGGATGTAGTGTGGACACATAATGTCACTTCATTTCTCGGTGAAAGTCTGTTTCCCTGACTATGACATATATGAAAAATTTTAAAGGCCAAGTTGCAGATCTCAGAGCACCAAACAAATAATAAGCAGTACCAGGCTCCTTTGATTCCATTAACTGTGTGCAATAGTCAGGATCAGTGATGTTATACTGCAAGAACAAACAGCCCCTAAAATCTTAATAGCATACACAATAAATATTTACTTACTCACACTACATTGGCCATCAGGGATCACCATGGAGCTCTGTTTCAGGACTCACTGGTGGAGCAGCTACCTTCTAGAACATTGTTCAGGCCCATGGCAAAGAGAAAGGGCATCCTAGAGGCTCTCATACAACCAAACATGACAAATATCATTTCTGCTCACAACTCGTAGGCCAGACTTGTCAGTGGCCCTCCAAATCACAAGGGAGTCCAAAAGTCAAAAATATTTTGCAAATAAATATCCAGTGTGTGTGTGAGAGAGAGTGTATGTGTCAGGGGCAGGGAAGTGTATTTGCATGCATTTATCCTTATAACCTACTAAGATATTTTCTGTTTCTTTTGCCAACAGGAATATTGATCCTCTCCCAGAAATGACCACTCCTGAGAAATTGTACTCCAAGGTCATGCAGACTCTGCAGTATCTAGATTCCCACCTGCCAAACGGCAGTCATGTTATTTTATATGGCTTACCAGATGGAAGATTTCTCTGGGATCAGTTGCATGACAGATATCATCCTCTTGGTATCAGAGATTCTTTTACTCTTTAACAATGTCAGTGTATTCATAGTTCAAATATATGTAGCTCAACTGTATAAGAATATACCTAAAATGTCACCAGAACCAATCAAGGAGAGAGTACCCAGGTACAGGATCTAAAGGTCAGTATCCAAAGGTGGCCAGAACCATATCAAAGTCAGACAGGGCAGACACAGTGAGTAAAGAATTTGGACAAATTGAAAGGTACGAGTTTAAATAAGGAAACTCCTTCACTGAAGGTGAGATTCAGAACACAGAACAGCCAACGAAGCCCAAACAAGAGACAGAAAGGGGACAAACAAGCCCAAGGGAAGGATTTCTCCAGACCTCAGTGGTGAGTGCCCCCTCGTGGCCAGAATTCTAATGGGTTCTGTGAACCCTGAATCTTCCCTGGTAGCTCAGCTGACAAAAAATCCACCTGCGATGCAGGAGACCCTGGTTCAATTCCTGGGTCAGGAAGATCTGCTGGAGAAGGGAGAGGCTACCCATTCCAGTGTTCTTGGGATTCCCTGATGGTTCAGCTGGTAAAGAATCTGCCTGCAATGTGGGAGACCTGGGTTCAATCCCTGGGTTGGGAAGATCCCCTGGAGAAGGGAAAGGCTACCCACTCCAGTATTCTGGCCTGGAGAATTCCATGGACTGTACAGTCCATGGGGTCACAAACAGTCAGACACAACTGAGCAACTTTCACTTTCACTTTCTGTGCACCCTGTGGCAGCTGGGAGTTCTATAGAACACAGTCCTCCAGAAGCCTTGCTCCCTGCTTCTACATTCTTGGAATGCTTGGCTCTGAAATGCTTTAAATTTCCAGAAAATTTCTAATAGCATGTCTAGCATTCCAGATGCTTTACAAAGATTGTGAAAGTAGTAGTAATTCACCTTGGGGAGAGCTGCCATTACTGACCCTCAAAACAATTCTGTAAGATAAATGTTTCTATATAATTACACTTGATTGGTGAAAAAAACTAAGGCTCAGAAAGGTTGCGTAGCTTGCCAAATGTTGCACAGCTTATTGTATATGTAACCTGGGTGTAGCAGGGTTCTTTTTCTGTGTTTCAGGGAAGAATGTCCTTTCAGAAAATAAACATTGTATGCCATGTGCTGTTCAAGGCACTGTGTAACCATCAGCAAACACTATAGTCAGAAATCTCAGCCAGCATAAGCTTAGGTTACAGTGGGGAAAAGATTCCAAAAGTCAGAGGAGGCTGAGTGTTGCTAGAGAAAATTAAGCAAAGGGCAGATGGGAAGCACTGGCCTCAGGCCTCTCAGAGGGGCATCTACAAGGAGAGGCTTGGGGACCATCATCTCAGCCCCATGACAGCACCTGTGCCAGTCTGTCATGGAAAGAGACTGTCCCTTGCCTGGCATTGCCAGGTCTGCCTCCTCAGACCAACCCTGGAGGTGCAAGCAGTTTCTTGTGAGTCAGGTGAGCAATTCAGAGGGGGTGACCTGAAACTCCTTCAGTCGTGTCCTCCACGGTGGGTGGAGGAGAGAGCTTTCCCGTGCATCCGTCACATCCCTGTGTCTTTTCAGTCGTCTCGTGTCCTCTTCCTGCAGTTCCTGCTTGATCCAACCTCCCTACCAGCTCCCTCAGCAAGTTCCACCCCTCCCCACATAAGAGAAGAGCAGGGACCCTTCAACCAGCTCTCAAAGGGCTCTGATCCCTTCACTGAGTTCCTCGTACTGGGGGACGGTAGTAGATATCCACACACCACACTTCCTACCAATGAGACTAAAGTCATTTTCTTCTTCAGTTATGAAACGTACTATGAATGTTACTACTGTCCAAGAGAACACAGTTTAGCCTCTCATGAGGAAAGCGTGTTCCACCTGTTCACTTGGCTTCACCCATGCCCTTAAGAAATGATTGTGTGATGACACAGTGAATTTTACTCCAGTCTGGGCTGCCTTGGACATGTGAAGGACAACCACTTGGGCTGAGAATATCTCTTTGAGCCATTGGGGATGAAAATTTCAGTTCCCCTAACCGATGTTTTTAGATTCCCTGGTGGCACAGATGGTAAATAATTCGCCTGCAATGCAGGAGACCTGGGTTTGATCCCTGGGTTCGGAAGATCCCCTGGAGGAGGGCATGGCAACCCACTCCAGTAGTCTTACCTGGAGAATCCCCATGGATAGCGGAGCCTAGTGGGCTACAGTCCATTGGGTTGCAGAGTCGAACATGATTGAGTGACTAAGCATGGCACAACAGATGTTTTCAGATTCCTAGATTTCGCCCATGCTAAGAAATGCTTAGGGAAGGGAACTTGGAGGCAGGGGAAATGTGCTCCCAATTTACTCCATCACACCAGTATGGACTTGACTTTGGGTTTTCTGACTTCAAATTTCATTCCCTTTCCATGAACTGCAGTTAGACTGCATCCATACGTTTTTTCAGATATGCCATGCAATTTCCTTGACTCAACCACAGTATTTAAAAATGACTCCATGTAATTTGGAAGAAAGCAAGGAAAGGAAAAGGTGACTGATCAGGGACTCAATCACTTGGAGGATTCTCTCAGTCCCTCATCCAGGGACTACCCACCCAACCCCACCCATTATCATATCACACCTGGAGATACAGGGTGCTACTGGCATCCAAGGGTTAGAATCCAAGGATTTTCCTAAACATCCTGCAATGCACAGGACAGCCCCTCCACAACCAGGAATGTCAATAGTACCAAGGCTGAGAAACCCAGCTCTAGGCTTTGTCTTATCCTCAGACAGCCTCCCTCCAGCCGCTGAGCTAGACTAGCATTTCACAGCACAAAAGCCAAATGTGGAACAAGTGTGTTCCATATCAACAACCCTAGTTTGGTGCGTTGGGGCAGGGCAGGGGGATCCAATTAGGGAGAAAGTTGAAACCACCTAAAATTTCTAATGTTTTTCAGTTATTATTCCTATCTTAAATTATCCCTGCTGTCTGGTTGCCATGGGAAATAAATTTTGAATTCCTCAAGAAGCATCAGGGTCCTTCCTAGACAGACTGGGAAAGTAGGTGGGATTCTCCCAGCATCCTCATTCCTCCTCTGGCAGGCTCCTAACTCACATAAGATGAGAAGGTTGAGTAGGGGCTGCTGCCTTCGCATTGTCTACATTCTGTTCCTGCTCCCCCTCCAATCTTTGGATCTTTGTTCCCACAAGACAGGAACCAGCAGTGAAGCAGCTTAATGCTGGGTCAGTCTCAGGGTTTGGTTGCTCTGCCCAGGTTAGGGTGAATCTCATCTTAATCAATAGCCAAATACCTGAGTCTGGTTCCCAGGGCATAGTGCTCAGGGTGGTACAAGAAATTAAGAGGGAGTTTCCATTTATTTCTGCCTTTGAGCCAAGAAACCTGATGATGATGATAATCTGTAGACCTGACTTTAGCCGCCCCTTAAGATTAAGAAAGAGGCCAGGGAGCAAAGGGATGGGGGAAGAAGCCCTAGGTCAGTGATTGCATTCTCTGCTGCCTCAATAGTACAAGTTGGAATTCAGCCCATCTATTCAGGAAAGAGGCCAAGTGCCACAGCATCAGATCAGCAGGCAGTGGAGGCCCAGAACAAGAATGGGTGTCTAGCTAACTCCCACCAGGGAAGAAGGAGCTAGGATACCCTCCTTAGCATCATTCCTCTTCGCCTTGTTTGTGAATCACTGCCTGGTAACTGCCTGGCTGCCAAGGGCTGTGACAGCCCCACAATCTCTACGAGCAATTAGAATTCCTGGTGAGAATGTTCTGTCTTTTTGAGGAACTACCAGAAAGTAGGTCTCACACATTAGGATTGTACTTGCATACATCTTTTGAGAAAGTTCGTATTTGACCAGGAATGTGTCCTCTCAGGCACAGCCTATGAGGAAGGCAGTCTTTCTGTTAATATGTCTGAGATACCAGTTATCTAAAGAAGATACTAAGGTGAAGTCCTTGTCCTCTAAGGGGAGGGGAAAGACAACTACATTGGGAAAAAGATTATACAGATCCTGACAGTAAACTTACCCTGGGGCCAACAACACTTGTACAAGCATTCTGGGAGCTATCCAAAGGGTTAAACTGTGGTCAAGAAATCCGGGAGTACTGGCTACAAATAAGTCTGCCATATGGCCTTCCTTGAAGGGCCTCTGCCACAAAACATCGCCAATAACTTCATTTTGCCTCAATTATTCTTAAACTGAAACCTCTCGCATTTTAAAATACCCCACCTTCCATTTTTTTACTAGCTTCATCTCTGTTTAAATTAATGTGGTTGTACCAAGGTTTAACACACTTAGATGGTACTTCATGAAGGTGTGGCTGATCTTTGTTGGTACTAGGCTTTTATTAGTACCAACTTTTATTTTTATTTTTTAGTATCAAGCTTTTATTAGCACCAAAATTTCAGTTATGGTCCCAACATTAAATACACTCCAAAAATTGCCCTAAAGAACTTACACATGACTGAGATATGAGCTGCTACTATAGCAGCTGGGGTAGAAGATACCCTTTGATCTTAAGAGGAACTATAGGGTATCCACTGGGCCAACCCATGGGCTCCCAGCCCTTACACACACACACACACACACACACACACACACACACACACACACAGATTGTTCCACTATTGTGGGACATCCCTCCTGTCCCTGTCCTGGGCATTCATGACCACCTTTCTTCATCAGATTTACTTTCTACAAGGAGTTGTAGACACCACCTCTTTACATGTAGGTACAACATTTAGGTAGGATCAGTCTTTATACCAGGGCTCCTCGGTGTGGAAAAATATCATTAGAGTGACAGGGATAAAAAGTAATACATAAAAAGAAAGAGCAAATAACAAACTGACAGTTTCAATCAATGGAAAAAAGCATAAGAACCATTTTCCTTCTTTCCCATCTTTCAACCATAAGCCTATCACAAGCACTCTCAGTCAGCCTTTCACATGACCAGACCCAGACACCCTAACCTTTAATAGGCAGAAATACCAGAGAGAAGGGAAACTAACCCATTACATCTCTCCCATTTATCTTCTAACTACAGTTAATGTGCCCTTATCCTGTCCACAGACCTACCTACTCACCTAAGAACTTCTTCTGCATCAACCTGATCCGATTAGAGACAGAACCAGAATACCCAGGAGATAGAGGGGAAGGAACAGGGACTGGGAGATGATCCAGAAGGAGGATATGCCTTGTGGTCTCATCCTAACGTGTGCTGGGACCTCAGCAGTAGCATAGTAGGAAGCAGGGAGTAAGCTGGGATGCAGCAAGGCTATGGATCAGCTTAGCCCCCACAGGGGAGACAGCAGATGACTTCTCCAGCATCCAGGAGCAGGATAAACTCCAGTCTCTGTGGATACAGTGAAGTCCAGTCTTTCAGATGAGGAAAGAGGGTGTAGAAATGTTTCTTATGGTCAGGCATGAGGTGCCACTTCCTGCAGGTTTAAGAGACTTCAGCCACTGGGCAAGGGAAGGAGAGAGAGAGGCCACCAGGTGAGAGTCAGGGCCAGCAGGTTGTCAGGGCCCCAGCCAAGCTCTCTAAGGCTCATTCCATGGCCCCAGTGCCAACAACGAAACAAGATGGCAGACGGAATGCTGGCACTCAGGGCCTGGGTCAGTGAGAGCCAAGGCCTCCCGGCAGGGGAGAGTTAAGAGTGGAGAGCAGGTGGGAGCTGTCAGTCATTGCAGCTGGGCTAGGCTGAGACAGGCAGGGACACACACAGAAAGGAGGCAAATTGCAAAAGTACATGCACGCACACACACACACACACACACACACACACACACACACGAGGGAAAGCAGACTCAGTGATGGAGAGCAGGATATTGCAGAAAGATGGGAGCTGAGAGCTCCGTGTGGAGTCCATAAAATGAAAGTGAAGACAAGAGCCAGTGGCTTGGGATTCATCTAAAATGTGAAAATGCAGACACCTTTGGAGCACAGAGAAGGCCCCGCGTGTCACTGTGACTTTAATGGCGATAATAAGCCTGCGGTTTTCCAGTCCTGGGATTCACTCACCCACCCAGAAACATAATATATTTTCCCTCTACGACAAGAAAATTGAATCTATCTTTCAGTCTAACTGATCTGAGGTATAAGTGAAAAATAAGACTGTGTTCTATCACCTTCAATCTTTCTCTTCGCTCCGAGATAGGCCCTATTATTTTCCTTTATTTTTTCGGGCGTGAGAGAAGTGTTAATGGATAAGACATCAGTCATTCACCCCTGAGATGTGGGAGAGCCTGGATTTTGTGTCCCAGCTGCAGCATGAAAGTTGAATTGCCACTGGGGTGAAGTAGGAGGGGAGCGGATGGGGAGCGGGGGATATGGTAGAAGGCCAGGGGGTGGGAGGTGTGAAGAGAAAATAAATTATGCCCCCAGATTCTGGGTCTACAGTTGATATTTGGAAAGACTCTGCATGAGCTTGCATTTGGTGCTTATCACTTTATTCTTTTGTACTTCTTTAACTTGCACCAAAAGCACCAAAAATAGAGCCCATCTATTAATGAGGGCTCAAGTAAGAGAACTGGTGGGCCATGAAGGGGTATAACATACTAGCTGTTCCCATTAGATGGCTGCCCAAGCATTTGTGGGAACCTTCAGTTCACCAAACTATAAAACAGAGCATGATCAGACCTTCAGACACTCAATTGTCCTGTCATAACTGGAATATTTATTTAACTGGGTCAGACTTCAGTGTTTCATAAACACAAAAGGAGGATTTAGTCAACTACACCTTGCATGCTCTCTGGGCCCCAATTTGGATACCATTGCCAGGAGAAAGCCACTGCTCTGCCAAGTCCTTCGTTAGTGGTGTTCTGGTCCATAGGGTGCCCTGTATCCCTCTCCCTGGAATCCTGCCCTAGCCCATGATAAGAGCTCAAGATGGGAGTGAACTCCTTAGGGCTTCTCCCCAACTCTGGGTATCAATTTCTAGGGAGCTCAGAAAGAAGGAAAGCCTAGGCTTCCTTAAGAGCAATACCAAGTGCAAAACCCGGGAAGATCCCTGGGGACACCAGCCTTCTGCAAGGGAGGCAGGATCACCCATCAGGGTCCCTAGTTGGCTGCTGTATCTCTGAGTGCATGCCACAGGCCAGATCCCTCTGTTTTCCAGGCCAGCTCAACAAGGACGTGACCTACGCGCATTTCTACTCCTTCCTGAACTGTCTCCAGGTGAGCTCACGCTGACTTCTTCCAAGGCCATGTTCCCATGACCTGCACCATTCTTCTGTAATCAAAGTGTTTTCCTGCTCTCAGGTCAGCCCCTGCCACGGCTGGATGTCTTCCAACAAGACGCTGCGGAATCTCACTTCAGAGGTAGGGCTGTCGTGGATCCTTTGATCCCATCTTTGAGTATTCTCTACCTGTATTTGCTGCAGGATTTTCACTGGGGGTGGGGTTTTGGCAGGGCAATGGCCTCCAAGCTGGTGAATTTAAAAAAAAATTCAAACTCTTGGATGCTTGAGGAGCCAAGAGAATGTGGGGTGCCCTGTCTCCCCACTCTGCCTCACTGAGCCTGTCATCTTGCCATGGTTCTCAGTCCCTGTCTCTGTGTGTGCCTCTCTTGTATGCACATTATGCATGTACGCACACTCACAGATGTCTGTGAAAGCTTGTCCTAGACATATTTTGCAGTCAGAGAAGTGAGCAAGGTTAGGTATACACAGAGCTGGAAGTCTCCCAAGGCAAGGGAGGACCAGATGCCCCAGAGCCTTCCTTTCTTCTCTGAAAAAGATTCCCACATTTCTTTCACAGATGGTAAATAATCTCTTTGGAAGGGATTTATTTAAAAGTTTTTACAAGGGAAATATGTTTCAATTTTTTAAAACTTTGGAATGTAAAACAATACAAAAAACATTAGCAAAAATCACTCAAAATCTCACCACCCAAAATTAATATGTATGTCTTTCCAGCATTACTTTCATAGCTAGTCATTTTGGGGACTTTGCCTGCATAGTATCAGAACACATGTAATGTTTTATACCTTCTAATGTTCATAATTATTCCTCCACATCATAATTTTGTAATCATTTTAGAATACAGAGTACATGAATATACCATGGTTTATTTCATCCCTTGGTGTTGGACATATGAGTTGTTTCTAATTTTCCACTATGATATATAGCACTGTGATGAACCTTTTTATATATAAAAATGTATGTCTTTGTGTATCATGTCTATTTTCTTAAGATAAATTCCTAGAAAATTATTGGGTCAAAGAGTACACCAGATCTGATCCGTATCACCAAATTGTTCTCTAGAAAGGTTAAACAAATTGACATTCTCAATCACATATCCCATGGCAATACTCTTTATTATCACGATTGTTCATCTTTTCCTTGACAATACCATGGGGAGAAAATGGTATCTTATTACTTTAATTTGCACTGATTTGGTTCCTAATGAATTTTAACAGTTTTGTATGTTCGTTGGCCATTTGTGCATGAACAGAATTTAATATGCAGAGCTGCTCTCTGCTGATGACTTGCAGTGGGGGTGGGAGTGGGAACTATTGATTTCTTTGTTCTGCCTGAATTATCTCCCTAAAGCCCAAGTCTAGGTTTCATGAAATTCTCCCTGTTTCCTTTGTATTCAGAGAGCAGAACAACTCTCCACAACGCTGAAAAAAATTGCAACCAGTCAGAAATTTATGAACTTCGACCTTTTCTACTTAGATTTCGACTTCCAAAAAAGTAAGTTTTGCTTGGTTTAGGTATTGACACAAGACAAAAGCAGCAGCCACCATTTAGAGCCTTCCTGGGCAAGGTGTTTACAAGTGAACAGACAATAGCATGGACAGGGTCACTGTTGCCCATTCTGACACATTAATAGCTCTGAGTATTGGAAAAAATAAAGTATGAGACTCTTTCTGGAAAGGTGGAAGCTTAGCATCACCTCCTTATTTCACCATTATTTTAGAATCCCGGCAGCAATAGAGCCAGTGACCAATCGGAAACAGCTCTGGGCTGGGAGTCAACAGGTCAGTGAAATCATCTTACTTATTCTTGACAGTTTAGTAATGCCCCGCTTATGAATGGGCTAAGGATGAGTGTGACAAGCCTGAGGCATAAGCTCATGTCTCTTCCCATGGGCACTGGATTCCCTAAGGACTCAAAGCAAGGCAGATTCCCAGCCCCCACACAGGATAAAACAAATCAGAGTCTCAAAAGGAGGGACTTCAGATGCCTATGGCAAAATGAACAAACCATATCCCAACTTTCTGGAAAGAACACTGCTGCTGCTTTTCTAGCACTCTCTCCAAACACTGGGGTCACTGATGAGTGGTCACAAGAAAGCAAGCATGATTACTGGATTTATCCTTTACATCTTGACTCTGAAGAATTATTATCTATTGACTTTAATCCTTCCAGTCCCATTTTCATTTCTAAGTAATTGTTACACAAGACAAAAGCCTCTGTTGTTTGACTGCCAGCTGAGATGATGCTAACAAAAAGCTTTGCAGTATGTGCAAAGGATGGACGATTGCTCATAAGGAGTTTATCATCTCTATCTCCCCACCACCAACTCCCCCAGCCCAAGCATCTGGGATGAAGCAGATGGCCATCATGAATTATCAAATATTGCATTAGCTGACACGTTTTGCATTGTAGACTCTAGTACTTCAATTCTGAACATCTTTTCAACAAGACTGATCTCTCTTAACTAGATTTCCTGCCTAGGTGATACATATTTCCCTCATGGGGAGAGACATTTTGATAAATAACTTCTCATTAAAATGCAGAGTTAAAGCCTCATTAATGAATTCCTGGTGAAAACAAATGTACCACTAAGAAATCTTTGATCATCACCAACCCTGAATGTAGATAAAGTTTTTAAAAATATAATAATGCCTAGCATTCACTAGAGACTTTCTCATTTCCATAGTAATCTCTAGCTCTGTCATTTGTTATCTTTGGGACTACTGGAAATTCCCTGAACATTTTCAAATTCTCCTTTCCAGACCTGGAAACAGAGACACTATATCTACATAACAAGTCTTTGTGATGATTGTGTGAAATAATGTATAATCCTCCTAAATGCCATGCCTGGAACATAACCAGCACCCAGGAAAGAGCACCATTCTCTCATACCCTGGCCACTTAATACACAGTTCAAAATGAACAGGATCCATACACCAGGGTGGCCGGTTATAAATGCAGAGCCCCAGGCCCCACTCCTAATTAGGACCTGCCTAATCAGAGTCTGTCTGCATCTGGACATAATCCGCAGATGATCCATACACACATTAAAACCTAATCAGTGGGGCTCCGATAATGCTCCAAGATTAAGAACTTAGTCACTTAATCATCATATTTTTACTAAGCCCTCCTATGTGCTGTACAGGTGCCAGGAATATAGTTAACAAAACAGAACAGTCCTTCTCTTCATGAAAGATACAGAGAAAATGGCTTCCTCCCAGACCCCATCCTTACCAGCACTCCACATACTTGGAAGCAGAAGTTCCTTAGCACATCCTTTTTTTTTTTTCCTCAGCACATTCTCATCCTCAGAGCAGCAGTAAATGCAATTTAAAAGTTTCAGTTAAGCTGAACATGCTACATCAACCTTTCTGAGAAACCTCCTAGGTATCTCTCCTTGTTTGTCAATTCTCATCAATAGTTTAAGGAACTTCCTGAAATTTTTTAATTTCCTGATATTGAAGGTCCAGTTTTGGTACAGGGATTTCTTTGCCTTCTCCATATGAGGTTAGTCTCCACTACAGAAGACCCAGTGGGAGGGAGAGGGGAGACAGAGGAAATGGTACCCTGACTGCCTAGGTGATACATATTTCCCTCATGGGGAGAGACATTTTGATAAATAACTTCTCATTAAAATGCAGAGTTAAAGCCTCATTAATGAATTCCTGGTGAAAACAAATGTACCACTAAGAAATCTTTGATCATCACCAACCCTGAATGTAGATAAAGTTTTTAAAAATATAATAATGCCTAGCATTCACTAGAGACTTTCTCATTTCCATAGTAATCTCTAGCTCTGTCATTTGTTATCTTTGGGACTACTGGAAATTCCCTGAACATTTTCAAATTCTCCTTTCCAGACCTGGAAACAGAGACACTATATCTACATAACAAGTCTTTGTGATGATTGTGTGAAATAATGTATAATCCTCCTAAATGCCATGCCTGGAACATAACCAGCACCCAGGAAAGAGCACCATTCTCTCATACCCTGGCCACTTAATACACAGTTCAAAATGAACAGGATCCATACACCAGGGTGGCCGGTTATAAATGCAGAGCCCCAGGCCCCACCCCTAATTAGGACCTGCCTAATCAGAGTCTGTCTGCATCTGGACATAATCCGCAGATGATCCATACACACATTAAAACCTAATCAGTGGGGCTCCGATAATGCTCCAAGATTAAGAACTTAGTCACTTAATCATCATATTTTTACTAAGCCCTCCTATGTGCTGTACAGGTGCCAGGAATATAGTTAACAAAACAGAACAGTCCTTCTCTTCATGAAAGATACAGAGAAAATGGCTTCCTCCCAGACCCCATCCTTACCAGCACTCCACATACTTGGAAGCAGAAGTTCCTTAGCACATCCTTTTTTTTTTTTCCTCAGCACATTCTCATCCTCAGAGCAGCAGTAAATGCAATTTAAAAGTTTCAGTTAAGCTGAACATGCTACATCAACCTTTCTGAGAAACCTCCTAGGTATCTCTCCTTGTTTGTCAATTCTCATCAATAGTTTAAGGAACTTCCTGAAATTTTTTAATTTCCTGATATTGAAGGTCCAGTTTTGGTACAGGGATTTCTTTGCCTTCTCCATATGAGGTTAGTCTCCACTACAGAAGACCCAGTGGGAGGGAGAGGGGAGACAGAGGAAATGGTACCCTGAGATCTGCCTCTAGAAACATCCAATACAGCATCCCACATTTAATAGCTACATGCCACCATGTGCACTTCTGAAAGAACTGGAATTTCTATCTAGTTTTCAGGAACTATGGTGACGTCTTCACCTATGCTCAGTGTTAGATTACTCCAAAAGGAATGCCTACCTTGAGACTTTAGCATTTTTCCAGGGCAGGCAGAGGGCGCATCCACTCCAAGATCCATCTCCATGGATAGCCTCCAACACACGCACTTAGTCATGTCCAACTCTTTGTAACCCCATGGACTGTAGCCCACCAGGCTCCTCTGTCCATGGAGTTTTCCAGACAAGAATACCAGAGTGGGTTGCCATATCCTCCTCCAGGGGAATCTTCCCAATCTAGGGATCAAACTCGCATCTCTTGTGTCTCCTGCCTTGGCAAGCAGTTTCTTTACCACTGTACCTCCTGGGAAACTCTATAGAGTCATTTATTAAATCTGCAGTCTCAGTAGTCACATGAAAATCTCTGCTCTCATTTCTATACTGCATTTGAGCATCAAAAATGTTACTTTCACATGTAATTCACAATTGTACACCCTGAGACAGAGCAAATGACTGAGGGTCCCTGTCCCTCGAGGCTAGACATGAGACCTATCTGTTCTCCACTCTGACAGCCTAAGTCCAGCTCCAAAAGATGATTGCTCACCTCAAAGACTTTTTCTGTCTCTCGCTGACTCATCCTCCAACTGCTTATGAGCTAAACAGAGGCAGTAATTTTTTCTCCCTTCAGGAAATGCCAGCTTGAGCAGGTGATGTCCTTTTTCTTCATCTCTACCACACCTCCCAAATGGGGAAAGGAAAATGCCACTTGACTGACAAGGCCATTTTTTCACTGACACTTTAAATATTCCACCAGCTGCCCTCAGCTTCTAAGACAATTCAATTAGAATAAACCTGGTTCCCCCATGTGTGTTTGTAAAATGACCAATAACAATGAAATCTGACAAGAATTCAGATTTCTCTTTAAGTATCTGCTAATATTGCTGTTCATCAAGGGGCAAGCAAATGTTCTATGAGTCTTCTCCTGTGATTTCTATTGCATCTCTGAAAAACTGGTCATTAGCAAAGTTTTGACTTTACCAATAAAGAAAATACCCTACGTACCATATCCCAAGAGATCGTTCATACTTATTCAAGAGCTTTAAATCAGCTGTTCCAAAGGATAAATTAAAATTTGTATGCCTACAATGATGTAAAGTAATTAGCCTCCAACTAATAAAAGTAAATGGAAAAAAAAATTCGTATGCCAATTTTTAATTATGGTCCCAGGTAGGAAGGAAACTGACCAATATACCATAATACCCTGCTTCGACTTCCCATGCCAAAATCAGTCAGGAAGAAATAGAGACCACTGTCTACCACTGTATTTATTCTAAAGAGCAAAATTTCACCCTGAGATAAACAAACTAAAAAGGGTCACATCTAACTCTGTCTGGTCATAACACAGGTGAAACCTTAAACTCTTGCCTGTGAGTTACTGACTCTTCCTATAAGTGTTGTAATTCTGATGTCTACAGATATTTAGTGACTGGTAACCTTCAAAGACAGAATATCATGTGAGAAAATGATCCTACATTATGAGATGAAGCCTCCAAGAGAGTAGAAGGAATGACCATTCCTTTTCATTTTAAAAACAGTCATTAATTCTGATGACTGAATTTGTTCCATGAAGTATAATATCCATCACCACCTCTCCCTGCCTCTAAGGGAAATAGTTTTTCATTTAGTAGTTAGTAATGCACATAATTCTTGCCTGGAGAATCCCATGGATGGAGGAGCCTGGTGGGCTACAGTCCACGGGGTCGCAAAGAGTTGGACACGACTGAGTGACTTCACTCACTCACTCACTCACTCATTCAATGCACATAAAATTCAAATCAAAATGGAAACAGCCTAGACTAACTTTAAGCCTGGTTAAGACTAGTACTTAATCACACTAGAGAAACATGGGTATAAGAAGTCTGGTATTTATAATATGGGGCTCTCAGTAAACATTTCTCTCCAAGAACACCATTTTGGCTTAAACTTATAGGCTCAAATTTGTTTCACTTATGGGCTCAAATTTGCTTTCCACTGTGGATTTTCCAGCTTTCTAGATCACTGTAATTCCTTTCTGAATGTTCTCTTAGCCAGTAAAGGCACAAGTTTAGATTGAATTTGTTGATTAACCTTCTCTGCAAACAAGGAGAGCCAGAGAATACTGCAAGGAACTTCCTGCCCCTGCTGGATCAGAGGATGTGTGAGTGGTCCAGGTCAGACCCATGCCTTGCTGTCCATCTTGTTAAAACAATCCTCATGTCTTATTCATCCAACTCTACAGCTTCTCAGCAGGCTTTCTGAGGTCTTTACTGGGCTTGCTTCCCATTGTCTAACACGGACTGGGAATTATGTAACACTGGATCAAGATTCTTTCTCTTTCTTTTCTTTATCACACTTGTTCAGCATAAGGGAAACCAAACTAAAAATAAAGGGCGAAGCAAGAGAAAGGATTGAAAAGTTCAGTGAGAACTTGGGAGAGGTGAAAGAACACGAGTAGCATAGAAGCGAGGTCACCTCTCCTGTGACAGATAACCCGGGAGGCTGATGTCTTAACCTGGGCTGGACCTTCCTGCATCATTATTTTTTGTTTTAGAAACTCTTGGGACTGCAAGACAGGGATAAGGCCGATCATACAGAAGAGCAAAAAGTATGGAGGGGGCTCAGTAATGGGTAACACTGACTTTGAAGAAACGCTTCCAAATGCCTGGTGCTCCATTAAGGGTAATTGGTTGGATGTTCAGATTGGCAGTGACTCAGAGAATCAGCGTAAAATTCTAAAGCATAAAAGCAGGACCCCCCTGAAAAAAATGAGTAGGAAAGTGGTCCATGGTCCCCTGGTCAATCAAAGAGGAGAAGGAACAGCCTGAACCAAACACTGGGAACTCACAGCAGGTAAGCCAGATGAGCAGAGCTGGGCTGGAGCAGCATTATGCACCCAGGACAGCGCAGCCCCACAGGTGTGTCAGTTTCAGGTCCAGAGGTTAAGGTGCAGCAGCCAGAATTGAACCTGAAGCAGAAAATCTGATTCCAAGGTCATGCCTGAAAAACAGAACAGCCAGGCAGACTGAAGCTGGAGCCAGGCAAGCTTGCCCAAGGCTCTGTCTTTCACAGCGTACCTGTGGCCAACTGCAAGAAACTGTTGAGGTCTGCAAGCTGACTCAGCAGAATAAGTCTTCTTAAGGATTAGTGTGGTTTCAGCATCATTGCAACTCTAAGCTTCCTATCAAAAGATCAGATATATACTATTCCTTCAGAGAAATATATCATTTACCAGCATGAAGCAGTCTCTCCCTTGGGACCACATGTGGAGGACACCGTGGACAGTGTCCTTGATTGAGTTTCACAACAAATGCAAAGGCCATTTTCCAATAGCTGTTTCTTCTAGAACCCTCCAAAAAAACCCAGTAAAACACAAAATATAAGAGGGTGGCTCAGTGGTGGCCATTCAGGCAGGGGAAAAGCCAACAGGAACTGGTGATCCAGTGTAAGACTCCAAACCACCAGCAGGAATTGTCTCCTGTGCTGAGAAGGGCAGCAGTATTTGCAGCCCCTCTGGGGACAGGGATTGGACCGCAAGTATAGATGGCCTGGCATGATATTAGAACTAATTACAAAAGCAGCATAGTATTGATTCCGCTCCAGGGAAGTCCAGCTTCTCTTGTCCAGTGAGAGCCCCTAATAGAATTTTCATTCTTCCTTTGGGGCAAAGGGAGATAAACAGTGGGGGGAGGTGGGCGGGCAAGAGGGCACAGATCCCTGCCCTTGAGTTTTTGCAGAGTGAGGAGGGAAGATGGAGTAGGAAATGGCAACCCACTCCAGTGTTCTTGCCTGGACAATCCCCATGGACAAAGGAGCCTGATGGGCTACAGTCCGCGGGGTTGCAAAGAGTCAGACACAACCGGGTAACTGAACATATACGCACGAGGAGGGAAGAACTGGGGGAATCAAAGCTGTGCCCACTCCCTTCTCAGGACACCAGGGAAGTGAGGACATGGTGGGCTACTCTAGTAACAGTAGGTCTCACAGTTTTCTCTCTGGAGATTTTCTGGGGATTTGAAATTTCCTTGAGAAATCCTTATTGACAATATGATTTTACGATGTAGAGTTCACTGTGCTGTTGCCTTGGGGCAACTGACATTCCTGGGTTTCACCCCTGTTGAAGAACAGTTTTATTGCTGCTCATCATTTTAAGGCTCATAGTGTTTTCTCTGTAGCTCTCCTCGACATGAGATGTTGAGATCATTTTGTGTAATTGTATTTCTGAGAACTATGTGAGTTTTAATGATGATGGCTTGACACATGCAGGCAGTGTCTGGAAATGGCAACCCATGAAAGGAGAGGTTAGCTTAATAGTTTCCTCTTGTTTCTGAAATTCTGTTCTGGTCACTGAGAAATGAGATGGACTTAAATTACTGTTGAATATTTTACAGCTCATCCTTCCATCCCACCCCCCTTACTCTACAAACTACATTCATCCAACACTCTCACACATTTTTCTTCTTGAGTTAAAGGGAGAAAATGATACAATGGAAAGATCACTTCCGTTCAGAAGACCCCCATCCTGAGACAATGACTCAGAGTCAGATGTGGCTGGGTAAACATCAGCCCAGGAGGAGCACCCTTCACAGCCCTTATTCTGGGTGTTGACCATTGCTCAGAGAAACGTGTCTCTAATTCTGTGTGTGTCCGCCCTGCAGTTGTGAAGAAGTGGCAAAAGAGAGGTGGGCAGCCCTGGCAGCTCATTGAACCCGTGGACGGATTTCACCCTAATGAGGTAAGAGCAGTCACGTGATGGCTGCTGAAAGTTTATTTTTTCATTATAATTAATGCATCCATATGTTCATTTTTATCCTGTTTTATTCCAGAAAGAGTTTGAAGTGATGTGAATACATGTGTAAGATAGAAGATAAACATAAATTAAATTAATACTCATTTTAAAGAATAAAGTAAAAGTCAGAGTAAAAGGAAAATAAGATAGAAATAATACCTGGATTCCTAACTTAATGTTTACAATTCATGATTTGTTCCAGAAGTTCCTAAGGTACTGCCTGCAAGGACCCACAAAATCAGCTCCAGGCTTTCCAAGGGGCTGATGCAAAGATAGGCATAAGTCATGGCCTTCAAAAGATGAAAAAAAAAATAAATTAAGTATTCAGAAAAAAAAAATCAGAAGGATTCCTGGAAATGAGTTCTGTGAGAAATTTTTTCTACAGATCATTCTAGAAAATGAGGAGAATTGTATGAGAGGAGAACAATGCTCTTGGCAATATCCTGCAGTAAAAACTGTTTGCCATCTAGGATTCCAACTACTTCTGGAAAGTAGTTCTGCTCTGGTCTCTTCACAGAGCAAGGGGAGCTGGAAGGTGGGATGCTGTCCCCTCCTGTCCTCATTCTGTCCATTATCCTGGCTGGAGTCAGGGAAGTTCCTCTTTTATCTGTTCTATATACTGGACTTCTTAATAATATCTCTTTATATAAAAAATAGGAAAAGGAGTGGGGGTGTGGGTAGCTCTGCTACTTGTTAACATTTTGGTCAGTCAGGCCACAGAGAGGCCTGATCATCCCCTCAGAAGCTTGAAGAGAACCACGTTCTCCTTCCCTCGAGTTCTAGGTCCCATGGGTACCCATGGGCAGGGCTAAGAGTTGTCTCAAAAGAAAAGGAAGAGTGCCACTCCATCATCAGATGTATGGACAGAGGCGTCCCATATATGCTGGGTCAATTTTAAAATGCATGTTAAACACCCATGTGTTAAATAGCAACAACAAAAAATATCTAAGTAATGCACTTTAGAATATCTAAGTTTCCTGTGTATCCCTTGGATATGTTGATCCAAGAGAATTATTGGCTAGAAGCTGCTTAAATATTAGAGCTTGCCCCCTCCCCCCAGTGATGTCTTTGGTTTTAGAATAGTTCATGTGGAGACCTGCTTTCTGGCAGTAATGAGGTAGTAGTTCTTATCGTTTTTTGTACATCACAGAATTTTACCCTCTGATTCTACAGAGAACAGGGACAAGAGGAGATGGTCAGATAGGGAGTAATGAGGAACAAACTAAAAAGAAACGGGTCAAAGACAGCTTTGTTGTATCCCTTGGGACATATCTGTCTGATCTATCAAAAGAGTATTGTGTCCCTGACTCTTAAAATAGCATTAGGGTTCAAGTTCTGTCAAATTGGGGCTCTTTCTTGCACTCAAACGGCTTCACCAATAACTGATGGTTGTGAACAGAGTCAAAAGCTGAAAATCAGTGTGTGCTATAATCTTGAGTCATTCCTGAGAGATTCGTTCACATGCTGGGAGTGGGTGATAGAGTGGGCCACAGTGGGCAGAGCTATGACTAAAGTGGATGATAATGGAGAGATATGCCCAAAGCCTAACTAGTTATCCTGTATGTTGAGCTGAACAGTCTAGATGGCAAACTGCCATCCAAGAATATTTACTGAGTGCCTATCCGGTATCAAATACAGTGAGAAGTCAAGGATGAACAAGAAACTACCCCTGCTGGTTAAGGAGATTATAGGATAGAGTGGGAGACTGGGAAGTAAACAGATAATTAAATGTAGTCAATGCCTCTAATTTGCAAGCACAGATGCTAAGGGAGCATTATAGGAGATGGGATGGAGCAAAGGGGTATGAGAAAAAACTTTTGGAGGAGGGAAGTCAGAATTAAGACTATGAACTTGCCAAGTGACAGGAAGAGGGAAGGGGCCGCAGAAAGTGTTCTGAGCCAAAGAAAGTGCAAGGGCAGGGACCTGATACCAAAGAAAGCACAGCACATTGGAGGAAATAAAAGTGCTTCAATGTGGGTGAGACAAAGAACATGAGAGTGGAGTGGAGAGAGAGGGATCAAGAGAGAGATTTAGGGACAGATCACAGAGGGTCTGTATGGGAGTTGACCTTTCAGATATGGAGAATGGGGAGCCATTGAAGGTTTTTTTCAGCAAAAAGGAAAAATACCCAGACTTAGGGCTTCCCTCACGGCTCAAATGGTAAAGAATCTTCCTGCAATGTGGAAGACCTGGGTTCAGTCCCTGGATCTGGAAGATCCCCTGGAGAAGGGTATGACCGTCTGCTCCAGTATTCTTGCCTGGAGAATCCCATGGACAGAAGAGCCTGGCGGGCTATAGTTCATGCGGTCGCAAAGAATCAGACACAACTAAGCGACTAACACTTTTACTTCTTTCAGTTTGTGCTCTAAAAAGATACCTGAGGTGGCGGCATGGAGAATGGTTTGGTCCAGAGGGAAGGAGACCTGTTTGGAGTACACTTTGTGTGGGAGAGTGTGGTGGCCTGAACAGAGGTAGTGAGAGTGGGAGAGAGAAAGCCTCTATTGGAGTGATTCAGACAGTTAAATCAACAGAACATGGTTGTTTATTGGATGTGAAGGTGAAAGAGAAAGAGATGCTAAGAACTGGGAAATTGGATAGATGATTCCATTGCCAGCTGAGATCAAGAACACCTTTAGGGGGATAGGGTGGTTTGAGGAGGTGTTAGTAAAAGTTGCATTTAAAGATCCTATAGGATGTCTCTGCAGCAAGCTCAGGAAGGGATCTGAGTTCTAGATACAGATGTGAGCAGCATCAGGACAGGGTTGTGGCTTGAAGCCTTCAACAGAGCCTCCGAATGTCCCTATATACTCTCCTCCCAATGGCATGCCCTATAGCAGAAACCATGTTAATGGATTCTTCTAGACCATGGGGAAGCTATGGGAGTCCACCCCTTTTCCATCTTGAAAGAGCTAGTTGGTCAAGGCTGAGTCACAGGACCTCATGTTTATGGCACAGACATAATACCAACCAAAAGAGTAGACTCGAATCTTTATCAAGTGCCGCCTCACCAGCTCCTGTACATCTGAGCTAAACAGTTGATACTGGCCCCTCCCGCCAAGAGGGGAGCAGGCTTTATTTTATTGGCCTATTTCTTTCTAAAACCCTGCTGGAGAAGCAGAGGGGGACAGTGTATAATCACTATTGATCCAACTGTTCCAATTTTCTCAGAGACAAGTGTAATTAAGTATAAACATGGATTTTGTTGAAAAGTTCAAATTTATGATAGATATTAATTTTTGAGCCAGATTGTATTCACCATCTAAGTGACAGTAAGCTAGTATAAAAAAATCCTGATATACTAACAATCACTTTCTTTTTTTATCTCATTCCCAAAATGTAGAACAGAATTTTAAGAAATACCATCTTCATTTTAAGGGGGTAATGGGACTAGAAGAGTATAATGCCAGACCTGCTAATTGAATGGATTTGGTGGGTAGGAAGGAGATGACTCACAGAATTGGACACCTGGATGAAAAGACGTGAAAATACCAAGTCAAGGAACTCAGAAAAAGGAAAAGATTCAGTTCAGTTGCTCAGTCGTGTCCAACTCTTTGTGATCACATGGACCACAGCAGCCAGGCCTCCCAGAGTTTATCACCAACTGCTGGAGCATACCCAAACTCATGTCCATTGAGTTGGTGATGCCATCCAACCATCTCTTCCTCTGTCATCCCCTTCTCCTCCTGCCCTCAAGATGTCCCAGCATCAGGGTCTTTTCCAATGAGTCAGCTCTTAGCATGAGGTGGCCAAAGTTTTGGAGTTTCAGCTTCAGCATCAGTCCTTCCAATGAATACCCAGGACTGATCTCCTTTAGGGTGGACTAGTTGGATCTCCTTGCAGTCCAAGAGACTCTCAAGAGTCTTCTCCAACACCACAGTTCAAAAACATCAATTCTTCGGCACTCAGCTTTCTTTATAGTCCAACTCTCACATCCATACATGACTACTGGAAAAACCATAGCCTTAACCAGATGGACCTTTGTTGACAAAGTAATGTCTCTGCTTTTTAATATGCTATCTAGGTTGATCATAACCTTCCTTCCAAGGAGTAAGCATCTTTTAATTTCATGGCTGCAGTCACCATCTGCAGTGATTTTGGAGCCCCCCAAAATAAAGTCTGACACTGTTTCCACTGTCTCCCCATCTATTTCCCATGAGGTGATGGGACGAGATGCCATGATCTTAGTTTTCTGAATGTTGAGACTTACACCAACTGTTTCACTCTCCTCTTTCACTTTCATCAAGAGGCTTTTTAATTCCTCTTCACTTTCTGCCATAAGGGTGGTGTCATCTGCATATCTGAGGTTATTGATATTT